TTGCCAACTCATGGTGGCAAAGAACCCAGCCTTTGAGTTCAATTCCTTGGACTCTTCATACAAAAGTCACTTAAATTGGTGGTATTGGAGAGGGGGTGTTATGTATACCGCTGACCTCTTGTAGGCACAGTGTGTGGCGGTCGAGTGTTAATATGTTACATGGTGTCAGAATAGTGGTATTTCAAGCGCCGCCGAACAAAACTTAGCACAAAGATATGGCAGAAGGATACGCTAACGCATTGTACAACTGGCCAACGATGAATTGGGCTGCCATGGACCTGAGTAAAGAGTGGGAAAGATTTTATCAACACTGTGAATTTGCTTTCTGAGGACCACTCAGCAAGTGCATGGAAAAAGAGAAAATATTCAACCTGATGAGCTTTGCTGGTGACAAGGGCTGAGAGATTTACCTCACTTTCCAGTGGGACACTGTTCAAGTTGGATCAGGGAAAAACAGACATGACATCAGTGAAAGGGACATACTTCAACGAGTCACCGAAAAATTTAAGGGACACCTCGAAGCCAAAAAGAACCCAATAATGGCGGCAGTCAAATTTGATTGAATACGCCAACTGCAAGGGGAAACATTTGATTCCTTTGTCACTGACCTCAAGCTCCTAGCCAGTGGGCTAGACATGACTGAGACAAATAAGTTAATTCGGAATGCCATCGCATGTAAATCACAACGTTGCCTGGAAAAAACAAAAAACCTCCCTCATGAAACAGCCATCAGCATCAGTCGAAATGTTCGAGGCCACAAGGGATGGACTGTAGGTGATGTCAGGTGATGACCCGAGAATCGAAGTTAGTAAAGTTGCATGGAAGAAGGACTCTTCTAGGCAGCATAAAAAGGCGAGAAATTTCAAGAAACCTAAAGGTAACAATGAGGAGGCCCAGAAATGTGACAGGTGTGGATACAATGCACACAAGCCACAAGAAAAGTGTCCAGCCAAGAATGAGTCATGTTATAAGTGCAGGAAAACTGGACACTGCCCAAGTGTGCAGAAGTCGGAAAAGTATTGTTAAGGTGTTGAATGAAACAGACTATTCGGGAGATGAATATTCCAGTGATGAGGAAGGTGGTGACAGGGACTTACAACCACTACATGTAGCAAGTCTAGAAATAAACAGGATCAACGACAACTAGAACCCAGGTGAAAAGGATGAATGGTGTGAATTCCTGAAAGTGGGCAATAGCACCCTGTCTTGTCAGCTCGACACTGGTGCCTATGCAAGTGTGATTAACACCACCCAGCTCAGACAAATAGCACCAACAGACCGTCTTAAGAAAACCAAGAAGACTTTGGTTTCCCCATAGCCAACACCAGATCAAACCAAAGGGTTACGTTACCCTTCCAGTGCGATTTAAAGACAAGGAGTTAAATGTAAACTTCTATGTTATAGATAGCAAGCAGAAACCAATACTGTCAGGCAAAGTCTGTCAAGCCCTTGACTTGGTCCAGCGAGTGCATAAAATAGATCTGAGCCTTAAGGAGTTGTTGAATCAACACCCTGATCTGCAAGATGGATCTGGAGTCAAGTCAGGAACCTACTCAATCAAAATTGACCCCACAGCAATGCTAGTAGTATATGGTCCTTGCAGACAACCCGCTGCACTCCTTCCCAAGATTGTGTCCAAGCTCAAAGAAATGGAGAAGGAAGGGCGTCTAGCCAAAGTCACACAGCCCACTGATTGGGTCAATTCTATGGTGGTTTCAAGTTGAGGTGACGAGATCAGGATCTGTTTAGACCCAGAAGACCTGAACAAAGCCATTAAGCCGGAACATTATCCGATACCTGCAGTTGAAGAAATTTCAGCCAAAATACCTGATGCCAAAGTGTTCACAGTCCTTGACGCAAAGAGGGGGTATCTCCAAATGAAACTTGACTACGAGTCCAGCCTACTAACAACTATGAACACTCCTATAGGTTGATACAGATGGTTGAAGCTGCCTTTTGGAATCAAATCAGCTCCAGAGATGTATCAAAGGACCATGAATGAAATGTTGGAAGGTATCGATCATGCACATGCCATTATGGATGACATATTAATCACAGGTCGTAACGTTGCTTATCATGACTTGGTGCTAGAGGCAGTGCTCCAGCGAGCCAAAAGCTACAACCTCAGATTGAATTTTGACAAGGTTAAAGTGTGAAATCCAATATGTGGGCCACATTATCTCAGCAGAAGGACTCAAACCTGACCCAGAAAAAGTGAAAGCCATGAAGGATATGCCACCTCCAGAAACAAAAGAGGATATACACCGATTCCTGGGATCCATACAATATTTGACCAAGTTCCTCCCAGTGCTTGCAGAAGTTGAAACCCCGTTGCAAGAGCTTACTAGAAAAGAAGTCATTTTCCACTGGGATAAGCCACAAGCAGATGCATTCCAATAGCTCAAAGATATGTGCTGTAAAGCCCCTGTGCTAGCCTACTATGATGTCAATAAGGAAGTGACAGTGTGATGCCAGTAAGGAAGCAGTGGGTGCGGTCCTACTCCAAGAGGGAAGGCCAGTAGCTTACGTGTCTCGCAAACTTTGAGAATCTGAAATCAACTGGGCCCTAATGGAGAAAGAAATGCTGGCAATTGTGTTCAGTACACAGAAATTTAGAGAGTACATTCTAGGCAAAATGACTGTGGATCAGACTGACTATAAGCCCCTAGAGACAATTCTCCACAAACCAATCGTAATGAGTAAGTTCTCGCTGATACCCTTAGCCGAGCAAGTCTGAATGAACTACAAGTAGACGGAGACGAAATACAAGTAAACATGCGAGAAAGAATATCCATTTCAGAGCCAAAGTATACAGAACTCCAACAAAAAACTGCAAACAAGCTGTACGTTATGATTCAAACAGGGTGGCCAGAAACAAAACAACAGGTCCCACACAGCATATTAGAATACTGGGAGCCATGTGATGAACTTGCAGATGGTGTAATCTACAGAGGGATGAAGATTGTGGTACCCCATCCATGAGACCAGCCATGTTTGCCTTAATACACAGAACACACCTTGGAATTGTGAAGCGCAAACAGAGGCCAGGGACGCACTTTATTGGCCTGGAAGGAGTGCTCAAATAGAAGACAAAGTAAAAGACTATAGCATGTGCTACAACTACGCGTCATTACCTGGTACTGGTTGATTGTTACTCCAAGTACATTGAAGTAACTAAACTCTGTTACCTTGCTTCCCAGGATACCATTGAAGCACTGAAGGAACATTTCAGCAGACATGGTATTCCAGCAAAACTGGTGACTGACTGTGGTGTTCAATACACAAGCAAGGAATTTGAGACTTTTGCCAGAAGCTACAACTTTGAACATGTCCTAGTGAGTCCCAAGCACCCCCATGCAAATGGAGAAGCAGAAGCAGCAGTCAAAACAGTAAAATCACTATGGAGGATAAACAACGACAAGAACAAAGCACTTCTAGAGTACAGAGCAACCCCAATCCAAGGGATCAACCTCCCTCCGTCTCAACTCTCCATGGGACGTAGGCCAAGGACAACAATACCAATAGCTTGTGGTCTGCTAGAGCCTGAGGCACACAACATCAGAGAGATAAGAGCAAGAATGAAGTATGGCAAAGAGAAGCGGAAATACTACCATGATTGCCGAGGTACTAAAGAGCTACCCCCACTTAAGCCTGGTGATTTTGTTAGAGTGAAACCCGAAACGGGATCAAAGGACTGGAAAGCAGCAACAGTTGTGCAACAACATACATCACTCAGATCTTACATAGTCGATGTAGGGGGCCGAAGAATGGGATGAAATAGAGTGGCACTAAGAACAGACTCCCCCAAGTCACATGCAGGGTATCAGAGCTGTCATGCAAACATCGATGAGGCAGAGACAGATCCTGAGAAACCACGTGTAGTGCCACATGCAGTGCCACCACCCATGCCAGATGCAGGTATGGAGAAGCTGCCATTAGATTACCAGTCAGACCAGTCAGTCACAAGGAAAAGCCCAGCAAGAAAGATACCGCCTTCACCTGAAGTAGCAGCAATTAGGGGCTTGACCCTGTACACAACTTGAAGTGGCAGACAAATCAAGAAGCAAGTGAAACTAGACATATAATTAATTTTCAGAGTTGGACAGGCATTGAAAACAGCAATAACAGACACTGTTAATTGTGCAAACACTTTCTGTTTCTGTTTAGTTACCATATATATATATTTGTTGTTGTTGTTGTTGATATTATCAAGAGAGGGAAGGGGGGATGTTATGTATACCACTGACCTCTTGTAGGCACAGCATGAAATAAAACACATGTGTTGTTTAACTCCAACATCGGTAGAGTGTTTATATGTTACAGGGGGGCCGTTTGATATTTTAAAACTTAAGGAAATTGCATCAAACTTTTCTCTTTTCCTTATTAGATTTGCTATCTTTAGACGAACCTTGGACGCAGAAATGAAGGATGGGACTTGAGCTGGCATTGGTTTGAAAGCAAATCAAAAGAAAATAAGAGCCAGTCACTGATGAAGAAAGGCAGTTGTGGCAAAGTGGAATATTTGGTATGGAGACAGCTAAATCTTTGTTAAATGTTGTATATTACTATAATGGCAAATTATGTGGTCTCCATGGAGGGGAGCATAGGCAAATCTGCTTAAAGAATTTTGAAATAGGTGATAATTACATCTGTTTTAAAGAAAATGAATCCAAAACATTTGTTGGAGGCTTGCTTGATTTGAAATATGAACCATGTGTCATTAGGCATATTTGTCATTCTGTAGGTGAACATCATAAGCCTTGTCTTATTGAATATTACCGCCTTTATTGTTTATTGCCCGATATGTGTGGTCTGCTTTGCTTTAGATGTTCCACAAGCTGGAAGGTGTAGCAACTATTTAAAAAAAAACCATGCAGTCGATATTCAACAAATGTACAGTCTAACCTCTTTGGCCAGAAACTAACAAAATTAACACACAAGTTTTAGAGTCAGTTCCTTCAATGACAAGGTATCCACAGGGGATAGAGACTGTAGATATATCAGGACAATAGACACATCCCAAATTTCTGTGTACTTTGGTCTTGGAGGTTTTTCCTGAAAAATGCCTTTATCAGCCTGGATACTAGTGGGTGTTTTCCTACACATGTCCCATCCTCTAAAGTAACAGAGCTAGACAAAGCACTTCTGGCAGTGTCAATGGCATTGTATGTAAGGCCTTGTTGATGTAGTGCAGTGAGAAAGTCAAGCACAGGCACTAAAGATGGTTGAATGTGATTGATTTGCCTCGGAGTGCAAAAGTTTTGCAATTTTTTGATGCAGGTACTATTACAGTATTTTTTCTTTGTTCTATTTTGCCATGAAGCCATGATGAGCTTTGCAGTTGCTTGTGAAATCCCCTAATCCTGGATGGACTACCAGGCAGGAGGTGAAGCTTTTGGAGAGAATGTGACAGTGAGAGTAGGTCCTGGTGCTTTGGTTACACAAATGGAATTGCAATTATCATTCTTAGAAGTTGTGGCCACCAAACTTGAGTGGGCCATAGTGGTAAGATCATGATTCCCTTAGGTACTTGTTCCTCCAAAATTTTTTGTAAACATCTTTAAATTTGACAAAAAGGTGGAAAAGCATAAAAATACAAGGAATCTTAGCTAATAGTACATGCATCCACAAAACAAGAGGCTGGGTCAGGTTTCCAAGAGACAAACCTGGGGAGCTGTTTAAGTCTGTTGGCAAAAAGATCAATTTCTGGGGTGTCCCAATGGGTGGTTATTTGTGTAAAGATCTCCCTTTTTAAGTTGCATTCAGTGCAGTCATTAAACAACCAGGAGTCTTTGTCAGCTTCAGCATTTTCTACTCAAGCTATGCAAGTTGCTGTTAAGGAGGTGTTGTTATTTACACATCAATCCCTTATGTCATATGCCTCTTGATTGCAACTTGGAGATTTTGTTCCACCTGTAGCATTAATATAATTATGTTACAGCTGTTGAGTTATCACAAAGTATTTTGACATGCTTATTTTTTAGCCTTTTACCAAAAGCTTGCAAGGTGAAGTGAGTTGCTTTCGTTGATGTGCAACTGGCTTTCTGTACCAGACCACAAGCCTTGGGTGGTATCACCATCAAGGTATGCACCCAGCCCTTTTTTGATGCATTGGTTCTAATCTCAATGACAGGATTTCCATGTGATATTGGCTTAAAAACCTTGCCCATATTTTCAATACACCAGGCAAGGTCTTTTGCACCTAGGAACAGAGGTATGAGAGCCTCATAGATACCCTTATGCTCTTTGAGGGTCAAGTTCTTTTCAATTTCTAGGTTCCTATAATGAAGTTTCCCAAACTGTACCCTAGGTAAGCTAGAGACAAGTGTGCCAACTAATTGGGCTAGCTCAGTGATAGTGGTTTCATGTTATTGTTGCATTGCTTTACAGTTAGCTTTCACTTTGGCTTTTTTGTCATCAGTGAGAGTAATTGTCATGGACACAGAGTCAAGGACAATACCTAAAAATGTAATTTGCTCAGCTGGTATGACAGATGATTTCTGCACATTGATCACAAACCCCAAGCTGAAAAATAATGTATGTGTATCAGAGATATTAAGCAGGCATTCATTGGTATCTCTACCCTGGAGGTATGAATCATCTATGAACCCACATTTAGGTGACCTTTCTGTCTTAAGGTAGAGTATACTGGTTTCAACAGCCTAGTAAAACACCTTGGTGCAGATGAAAGCCCATTTGGCATACATGTGTACTGGTAGAGAAAACCCTCCCACTAAAATCTCCGATACTTGCAATGTTCCTCAGCAATGGGAATTAAGTTGTAGGCATCTTTTACATCAATTGATGCCATGAAACAATTTGGAGTCATGAGTTGCACAGCAGACCAAAGAGTACCCATTTTCAAATGGTGTTTCTCTATGTGCTTGTTGTGCTTTAAATTCAAAATCATGAGGTATTGACTGCTTTTCCTTTTCCTGACAAATATAGTGGAAATGTATTCATCTGGAGTGTGTACAGCAGGCTCAACGACACCTAATTCAAGCAGGTGAGCAATTTCTCAAGTAATTATTTCTTTCCATGCCAACCATGGTGTTATTGGCTACTCTTTGAGTGACTAGAGCTGCTGTCCTTGGTGTGAGCTTTAAACTTAGCCTGTTTGTGTCTAAGATGTCTTTAACAGCCTTTGGGAGATCATCTCCAAACAATTCAGCTGTCACTGGATTTGATGGACTGCAAAGATGTTCATAATTTGTATCAAGTTGTGGTCTCATCAAATCTCTCTGTTGATGCTTTAGCTCCTGGTTAGCATTTGCTAAGAGGAGCACCCCACCCATTAGGGCACAAACAGTCTCTTCTTTCTGAATTTCTGAGTTGCCCATCAGCTTGTTCACCTCTGACACGACTACTATTATTCCTTTAATCAGACTTTTCTGAACCTTTTGGAATTCAGTCAGTTGACTGAGCCCACTTGTCCAAATTGTTCCAGACACCTTGATTGACCTTGGTCTCTGACAAGGTGGCATAATTTTTGAGAGTTTTGTGTTGTTTCTTTAACTCCATTATTTTGTCTTCCTTAGCTTTCTCTCTCATAATTTCATCCACAAGTGATGCAAGTTCCCCATTGATAGTGGGACCTACATACTTGGTGAGCTGTAGAGTTTTGGTCAGCTTAGTAATCAGGGGAATGCTGTGTTCTTTCCTTGTTTGTTCAGTCTCTTTTTCTTGGCAAGTGGCTGTTCTTTGACAAGTGATTCATTGTGGTCCTTAGACACGCTCGAATCACAATTATTGGCAGTCTTCATCACCATTGCAGCCTGAACACGATGCAATCAAATTGTTCAAGTCATTGAAATCCGCATTCATTGAATCCCTTAGGCCATCAAATGAGCCCTTAAGGGCTTCAGCAATAACGGAACTAAGAGCTGCTGTGTTTAGGTAGTTAGCTATTTCACATTTATTATAATTGCACTCTATCGAAAACTTGTTCAGACATGAGCATGAATACCTAGGGAACCTGTTTGTTACAGTCGTCCTTGCACACAAAGGCATTGATTGAATATAGTTGTACAAAAGGTTGGCAACAAAGCTTGAAAGTACTGTCCACATACCTGACAACAGAGAAAGTAATTAATTGAAATTTATAATTGGTAATTAAGTCTCTTGACTGTATGAATAAATGTTATTCATCAATGGTAAGTTGCAATGTTATTATTATGCATACCAATACTTTGTTTCTGCTAATAACTTCAGTTGTTCTTTTGTCAAGGAAATCAGGTGGTGACGGTCTTTAAGAAAGAAGGAATTCATCAGGAAGGCAATTGAATTCAATAGCAAGTTAAACATACCTTCTGCAACAGACAGAACAGTGACATGTGAAGGTGAAATATGTTATCAGTATCAATTAGTATACCTTTCATATTGATATTTCTCACGAATTACAGTCAAGTTGCTGACGGTTCAACTCGCCAACGCCAACTCGCCGACGTGTAAAATTGAGTAGAGACGTCAGCGAGTTGGTCTTCAATCCAGTACAACTTATTAGAAGATAGACATATAAAAAAGTAAAAGATATTTAGTGAAAAAACAATTTTGTTTTCTTCCAACAAAGTTTTTAAGGATCTCATGGTGAATAAAGCAAGGTAAACATTGCCAATGAATATAAAAGCTTCAGACGTGAACGAGTTATAACTTGTTTGTGTCTGAAGCGTTTTTGGTTAATGGCAATGTTTACCTTGTCTACCTTATTAGCCTTGAGATCCTTATAAATTTTGTCAGAAATAAAAAGAATTGTTTTTTACTTAAGATCTTGTTTAGAAAGCCCAGTTTTTTTTAAAGAAAATCTGACCGCTTGACATAATGAGTCTTTACAGTATTGTCACAAAATAACTCATTCGCGTCTAAAGCTTTTTCGGTCATTGGCGATGTTTACCTTTTTTCTTCGCCTTGGGATCCTTATAAACTTTGTTGGAAATAAAAAGAATTGTTTTTTTACTAAAGATCTTGTCTAGAAAGCAAAGTTTTCTTAAAATAATCTGATCGACTGACATGGTGAGTCTTTACAGTATTGTCACACAATAACTCACATTCGCGTCTGAAGCTTTTATATTCATTGGCAATGTTTACCTTGCTTTATTTGCCATGAGATCCTTATAAACTTTGTTGGAGGAAAACAAAATTGTTTTTTTCTCTAAATATCTTTTACTTTTCTGTATGTTTAACTTCTAATAAGTTATACTAGATTGAAGACCAACTTGCCAACGTCTCTACTCGATTTTATACGTCGGCGAGTTGGCGTTAGCGAGTTGAACTGTCGGCGACTTGACTGGATACCTTTCTCACTTATAATTATTGTGTGAGATGACTACTAAAAATTGTGCAAAAAGTCCAAACCTTGTGTGAAAAGATTTGTGCAAAAAGTCTTTAGTGTGAAATGTCCAGTTACCTAGGAAAATTTCCATTTAGAAAAGAGGCAGGACAGCAATTCCCCTGTGGAATATATTTGTCAGTGTTTCTACCCACATTAATAAAAGCATTTTGGAAAATGTTGGCAATAGCACAGGGATTGTCAATAGATTTGCCACTTTCTTAAAGGGTGGGAATATAGTCAGCTTTAACTTTACGGATGTTTGTGATTGATGTATTCCTGTCCAGTTTTAATATCATTCCTGTTACACAAAAAGTAATTCTAAAGTAATTAGACTTGCTAGATTTGATATCTTTAACAACACTTTTCCTGAATTCTTGTGAAGAGATCTCAGATTTGGATCTGGTTGCTTACTTTCATGATCTGGGAGTAGAGCTTATCTCTGTATCTTAGCATGCACGTCTTTTTTTTATCCATGGTTTTATTCGAAAACTTTTTTCATGCTTTAAGAGCTTCCTGTGTGGAGCATGACAGTTAATAAAAAACAACCAAATTTAATGTTAGCATCTAAATCATTAAGAATGTTTGCCCAGTTAAGAAGTAAGAAATCATTGATAAATTTTTCTTCATCAAACTTAGAATAATTATTTTTATAATAGTTTAGAGTTTCATAATTTACCTTAACATTATCTAAAATCAAAAATTGGGGAAGGTGATCAGAGATTCTTAGGACTAAGTTACCACTAGTAGCATTTGCAGCATAAGTATTTGCAAATATGTTATTGATTAGGGTTGCAGATCTTTTGGTAATACGTGTTGGTTGTAAAGTTTAGGGAAGAAGAAAATAAGAGTTCAGCATTAGCAGGAAATCATTGGATTCCAGATGGCTCTCACAGTTTAATAGGTTAAGATTCAAGTCTCCCATAAGGAAGACATTCTTATTTTCTCTCGATAACTGAGATAAAATTGACTCAAAATATTCCTTAAACCTTACAGGGATAG